AAATTCTCTACACTAACGAGATTGAGGCGGTTTTCCTGGGTGTGGGTTTAGCGACTTTGGTGAGCGAATGGGGGAACGAGGAGATATCGGCCTAAATGAATACCGTTGTTGTTCATTGCTTGACTTTCTCCTTGGACTCTCTACGTCCGCTGGCGAAGGTGATCCCGAGAAATACCCATCCTCCAGGTCATGCGTCGGCGATCGCCTATTAGAAAGGTTCAGCGGTGGTAGCAGAGTTCCGGGGCGCAGTCTGCGGTGGGCACTATTTTGAGGGGTCACTACAGAGCTTCCTCCCTGCTTGGGGCCGCTATCTTCGCCGTATGGTAATTTAGTAAGGGAGTTAAAAAGAAGATCTGGAAGGACCTCTCCGGATGTGTTATCCGAACCCCTCGGGGAGAGGTCAGCCACTTTTGCTAAAGCAATTACATCGCAGGGGCTGCTTGGAGAGGAGATTGAGAGGTCCTTTGGTGGTGATGGTAACGAAGTACGACCAGGACTTGAAGATGGTTTTTGCTCCTCTAAAGAAAAATCCTGATTAGCCAGATGGAAGCGTGGTTTTTCGCCGTTATTTCTCCAGGGTAAGGATAATTCTATCCTGGGATCTGCATTTAGGGATTTGATTTCCACAGATGGATTAATAATCGTAATTGGTTGAGTGAAGTTATTCGGAGAACGCCTTCCTTTCTTTGTCGAAGATATACTTGGTAACTGGAACTCGGTGACATCGTTTCTTTCTTTACTGTGATCATTTAACTGCTGGAGACCTGGTATACCTTGCCCAAATTTTGGACCTGTCTCTAAGAAGTCTTTTCCTTGAAGACTGTGTGACATGGAGGTCCGGTCTGTCAGGTCACTCTTGCTCTTTCTAAGCCCGGGAGGGGTAAAGTTCCCACCAGTGCCTCCTCTGCTTGTAGATTCCGATACGGCTGACCCTCTCCGCGCGTCAGTTTCTGCAGCTGTAGAATGCTTCAATGGCACCAACAGGGTCTTGATACCTGAAGTCTGAAACTTTCCCATGTCCAACGCCGATAGAGTGTATCGTCGCACAATGGGCACCCCCTCTAGTCGATTGTTCTCAGATGTTGGCACAGGGGAGGCTCGGGGACTTTGTTTCAATGCATTTGACGTATGTGTTTGACGGCGAGTCACTTGAGGAGATGCAAAGGGGCTCATAACGGGTGATGACTGTTGACTAGTCACTGGTGATATAATCCGGTTGGACCTGTTTTCTGTGGCTTCCGTAAATTGTTTATCTATGGCGGAGTTGATAACCACATGTCTTTGAATTGAACTTTCCGAAACTGTGGTATAGCTTTCGCTTTTGCTCACTGCTACAGAGGAAACTCGAAACGTAAAGAGTCGTTCTCGATTTCTGTCCTCTTCACCTATGTCTTGATCTTCGTTATTATTGACAGCTTCTCGTGTTTCGTGACGTATATAGGTACTAACATGTTCCGCCATCCTTTCCTTCCCGCAATCATGAGATTCGTTGTAGTCACCAGATTTGATCTCCATTGTCTTTTCTACCGCGTCAAAACTAACAACACTTTTTCTCCCTTGCATTGAGTTTGCTTCGTCACTAATTTGTTGTTTTTCTGAAGAGCTATGATTTGGGTCCTCTGAATTCCTGCGCGAATCATTAGAGTACAGAAATTCGTTTGAATCGACGGAGGAACAAAATGAATCCTGTAGCTTAAGAAGCTTCTCGAGCCCAGAAGACGGGTCACGTGGTGCCGCATTCTCAGCATCAGAGATCTGAAAGCTAAACCTCTCTTCCTCTGATAGTGACCGAACGGAAGTTTTTCTTTTCGCCTCTGATTCACTCTTATCATCTTGCTTTCCCTCTGTGTTTGTAGAGTTTGTTCCAGCCTCTTCTGTGCAGTGTAATATCTTTTCAATATCTAAGGGATCAAAGTGGCACACAGATCTTTTCCTTCGGCGCTCGGGTTGAGCTGCTTCACCATCGCTGCTCAAATTTGCTCCCAAGAGATTGGCACTAGGGATGGATGGATCCTCCTTTTCAGCGGCGTATAAGTAAGAATGATTCCTCCGGATTCTGGGACCCGTTAGCGGCCAGGAGAATTTTCGTATATCCTGGATATTGGCCAGACATTCTTCCAGTTGCTTCACTTCATTATTATCACGAGCATCAGCAAGCATGCTTTCACGACAGGCGTTAATAAGAAGTCTTGTGGTCTCCAAATCCTCTGCGTTCATTACATAATCAAACACTGTATTTTTGCTTTCATCCTCTATCCACGGGTTGGACTTCGCGTCCAATAAAGCCTTGACGATTTCCTTGCCAGAATTTGACATGCAAGCGTAAATAAGAGCCGTGCGGCCGTAGATATCTTGCAAGTTTACCTTCGCTTGTTTACTGAGTAAATAATTAACGACACGGCCTTTCTCGTCGTTCATGTCAGTTTTAGCCTGGCAGCACAGCATTAGGGGCGTCTCGAGTCCTTCGTTACGAACATTAACCGAAGTTCCACCTTCCACAAGCATGCGCACTAGTCGAAGTTTGCAAGTCGAGCTGGCCTGGAACAAAGCCTCCGATCCCTTGTTATTCATTGCTGTGGAACAAATTTCTAAAGTTAGCTGCATTCAAAATAATTACGATTACAGGTGTATGTACACGTTACGTCTAGACTAGATATCTAGGTACATTGTGTTTAGACTAGATAGTTATTTGCCGCTGCCTGCAAACTAAAAAGTGAAAATCAACTTAAGGTTGAGATCGCCATCATCTTGAAGGGCAGATATTGTTTTCAGTCAATAACGTTTCCTCCATCCTTTAACTTTTAACCCATTCCCCTACTTGCTTGCTTCAACTGTTATAAAGTTTCATTTTAGCACATTTCCTGGATCAAGACGCTCGCAAAATAAAATGTATCCAAGGTTTTGACCATTCTGCGTCCATGTTACGCGTCAACATGGCGAGTACAGAACCTTAGCCATGAATCTGAAGCAAAAATCGTAAATACAAATGAACAACTCACAAACGTATTGTTAGCACGTCCACTTTCAGTGCTTGTTGTTCTTGTTGTTTAACTTTGTTTTGACCTGATCTATCATTTTGTTTTGTATTAAACCTTACGTTTTCGTGTAAATTTAACAAATTGACGTCAGTTTTGTACGCGTCTGTCCTCTTATTGATGATAAATTTCGTCATAACATTGTCAGAGTTTACTGCGGAACCACTCGCCTGCGGCTCGTGATTCCATCAGCCACTTTGACAACGTTATGACGCAATTTATCATCAATAAGACGACAGACGCATAAAAACTGACGTCAATTTGTTAATTTTGCAATAACAAGACCCCGAAATGGTCAAATGCCGGGAATAAATGAGGGGAAAAGACACCGTAAACAAAGATAAGTGAATTTTATTCAAAATGACGCGAACTTTGTCAATAGCTTTTCTCGCTTTTTGATTGGCTACTTAGAAAAGTCCATAAAATCTCATCGGTAAAAAAGTTGACAGTTTGACAGCTGAAAATTGAACTTGAAAGCTTGCATAAATTAAAATTTTATCCGTCTGTACTCTTTTTTATGATAAAAATGAGCCAATCAGCGTGCGAGAAATTAGACAGTTCTTGTGAAAAGCGCATTTGAACATTTCTCTGATATTTTGCTTTTTATAAAGGACAATTTTATTATTACCACTAATATAAAAGATATTGTTATTAACTCTGTTACTTAATGATGAGATTTCAGTTTACTTAGTTTTTGCGTTACCTTTTCTAATTATTGTTCAGAAAATTATTGTATTTTTATGTTTTTCTTGGAGGGGGACAATCCAATAAATATTAAACAATTTAAGGAATGACCTACATATGATCTTTGACTTTGAATAATCAGTAAATGTGGCAGATAAACCACACATAGCAAATGTTAGTAAAGGAGGGTTTTCGTATACCGCACATTGACGAACTTTGCAAAGAAACAGGCTCAATTTTGTGACTGATCTTAAGTTGCTTAGATGATGCGAGGCGTCGCTGGTGGTGCAATCTGATATTTTTTACATCTGAGGACAAACCTACAATTCCTGACGATATACTTTTCGGCCGACGGACAACTTTGTGCATCTTCAATCTTTCGATATGAGTAAGTATCTTTCGCCGGGTGATGCTTCGAGCAGGGAACAGTGAGTTCTGTCAAACTGCGTTTTGTTTCTTTGTGAAACTAGCCAAGCACACGCTAGGTTATTTCTTTTCCGTCATGATTATTGTTGCAAATACGAAGCAGGTGTTTTCGCGCCAAAAACCCACGCGTTATGCAAACTGTGGAGCTTTCCTCTCAAGAGAGCGTTCCGTTTTCTTCGCTGTATTTTTTAACTTTTCGCCGACATTAGTTCTCTTTCTTTTAATCATCTTTCATTGATAATATAAAGCTGAATATAACAGAGTATTTGTAACGGTTGCCTTCGTTGTAACCATCAGAAGTTGTTTCGAAAAGACTGAAATTACATTAATTAATGCATTGTGGTTCGATGTTCCCTCAAGAAATTAGTCGATATTATTATTTATACTCGGTAAATACCCAACCCGGAATTGATAACTTATTTTCAAGGGCATCGTGCTCACCTTTTTACGTTTTAATGAGTCCTGGGCAAAGGTTTTGACTTAAACATTGCGTGTTGCCCAAGAAAACTCCGCAAACTAAAATATTTTGCGCAGTAAACTAGGTGGAGGCTAAAGTAAACAAAGGGTTTAGAAAATTATAAAAATAAATTGATCTAATGCAGTTAGCCAAAAGAAAACGTCGCCGACTGTTTCATGTAATGTTATTGCCACCCCAGTCGAGCATTACTGCACCACTTCCATATTGTTTCTTTGTACGATCGCTTTGTCTAGTCGAAACATCCAAAAAAATTAGATTCGATGATTCGTGACTTACCTCGAAGCGATACCAATGAAACAGATCGAGCCCAACGTGGTCAATTCGTGGATTGAGGCGGTAAAACTGAAACTTTTTTTAGACCGTTGAAGTCAAACCTCAGGCTGGATAAAATACGAATGGAATGTTATTGGGCGACTGTAGCAACACCCTCAAAAATATTTTTTTTCTGTTTTGTTTTCCCTTTTCCCGTCGAGTCATACAAATCCGCAAAGTAATTGAATGTTTTGTCAATATGAAGAGCGATGAAAGCCTCAGGAATTCTTTCTCAAGTGCGCGTTCGTAAGCGGCGAGATGTTGGTCGTCCACTTGTTCCCACAGCGAACTCCTTCAAACATGAGGGTGACCCGATATTCTCATGTCCCAAAAGCAAGACGAAATATTACTCCACTTTCAACAGGAAATAACTGACGATAGTTGTTCGAGTAAAGAGACTTTTCCATTAAAATATGCTTTCGGGTTAAAACAGCCCTAAATAAGTGCTGTTTGAGTGAAAGTACCTTCTTTCTTGGCCAGGCTTTAAATTTTGCTCGCTCTTGGTAATGGACTAATGATCGGAGGCAAATGGAGATTTGCGACGAACTTTTCCCTAATTGAGTTTTTGTTGCCGCAGATTAGAAGCTTTAAAAATGTTGCCTTTGTTTTCTACCCCGAATACCGTTCAACTTCCCCGTTCGATCAACAAAATCGCCAAACCTTCTCCCTTGTAAATGAAGGAAATGAAAAGGCAACATTTTTCGATTACAAGGCGTCGAGTTTCCTCGCTTATGGCCTCAAATCAATTATTTTTTTTTCTTTTCAGTCATCAGAGTGATGTATATGCTATATGTCATAAAATAATCACTTCCATTTTGTTTTATTCTAATGCATTTAGAGCAAAGCAAATTTTAATCCATGAACCACCAATCGAAACAGTGTAGCTCGAAATTTAATTGACAATCTAAGAAAAATTACATGCAGCTGTTGTTTAGCAAGTAAAATAAGCTTGTCAAAATTGCCTAAGCTTGTATTTTGATGTATAAATCTTGATTAAAGGAAATTAATGGGAATGGAGCGAATTTAGCTCCATAAATAAACATAATAACCATAATATGAAGCGTTATCGTTTCTTATTTTTAAAACGCCCGTATACATGTAACTCGGCAATCGCGCTTGTCATCGATATGATTTCAAATCAAGAGAAACGAGCGATTGTAAATAAATGTTTTGTGTACTCTAGTACGTTTACTGTGAAAAGTGCCAGAGAAACTGAGAAAACTCCTGTTAAAGGTAGTTAAAGGGGCTAGCACGGCTCTGGCCAATTGGACATAGAAGGGCTTTAATTTTTAGAAGAATGTAAACGAAACACAGACAACTTATCAGAAAGGGGTACTGGATGTACACAGAAGCATATCACCTATTCAAGGTGATTTGCTTCTGATGTACAATATTGGGGAGATTAAAACGGATTCCACTCGGGTAAGCGTGAAAAACGTCGGCCGACTTTTTTTCTTAAGGTTGTCTTAATTTGTATGGAAATGTCATTTGTAATATTCAGAAATAATCCTTGTTTGCTATAGTTTCTAATGTGGAATCACTTGGCCAGATATAAACGCGCTTAACACTCTACGTACCTGTAGTATACATTCTTGGGCCGATTGTAAACGAAACTGAGAAAACCAAAATCTTGGCCTTTCGGTCACAGGTATTGCCAGAGCTCTTGATATAAGATAACCCACGCAGCATAACAAACAAAAAATACCTCAACACGGAATTGTCTAGTGTTAATGGTCGTTTGGTTTGCGTGAACATAGTGCGTAGGCAAGTGAAGTTGAAGGGGGAAACAGTTAATCCCCAATAAAGGCCTTATTCACTAGGTAATCCTTCAACTTATTTATAGATCACTAACAGTTGGAAATCCCAGAAGGATCTATAAATAGCCTATTCTTTGACGCGGATTTAGCTCAGGCGGACAGCCAAGGCAGCTTCAACCTGCACGAAAACATGAAACGCGCCACAAGTCCGTCTTCGGTGTTCAGTTGATTTTATGGACGTTGAAGACGATCTAAAAGCAATGATACCAACATATGGAAAATGTCGGCGTGCAGAGGAGTAGGGTGGGGGTGTTTTTCGACAACGATTCACTGCTGCGAAGGAGCTCTTAAAACGCCTACATAAACATGGGAAATTTCGATTTTACCTGAAAATGCAGATTGTGAAAACATTGATAAGTTTTGAAAGAGAAAAAATAATATATCTCAGGAGAGTGGAGTTTTAGTGGGACAAAGATGGCACCTAGGAATACGTAAATCTGAAAAACGTTAAATAAAATTAAATAGCAAGAAATGAAGTAATAATCAAAATTTCAGCGGAGGATATTAGCCCCGTTGCCGTTATGTTCACCAGCCGGTTTTGATTTCCATTTTAAAATCGAGCGAATCATCAAACTAAAGACGGCGTGACACCCAGGGAACAAGGTGAGATGGAAGGA